TTGGCGGCGGCCACCGTTTGCCCAAAGCACGGCGCCGAATATTTGCAGTACAAATGCCGCTACTGCTGCTCGATTGCCGTGTTTTTCTGCTTTGGAACGACGCACTTTTGTGCTCGATGCCACGATCACTACGGTGAACTAGCCGAAGCCCAGCTTAGCAAGTTGCCTCAGTGTCCGACCGGTTCCATGGGGCAACGCCTTCCTTCCTGTCCCCTCAAAGTGGTTCATCCTCCTAGCGGAATCGAATTTCCTTTAGGCTGTTCGTTGTGCACTTACACGAAGGACTTCTGATGTGATAATTACACGGAATGGCTAGACGCGACGTGTAGAACAATTCTTGTAATCGATCGCGTGCCTGTTTTGTTTACCAAAGTTTTTTATCTGCATTTGCCAGAAGTTTTATGTACATTTTGTTACTTGTTTGGCTGATTTGAATGGAATTACCGTGAACTGGAGTAAAGGAGTTTTTACATATATATATATGTTTGAACATGGTGGTTTCCTTAACTCATTTGATAGTTTGATGTGTTAGAATTGTCTAACGTACGCCTAGTATTCATCTTGAACAGCGTTCGCTGTGAAGACGAAAGTTTATTCGTTGAACGAATTCACAATTGGTGAACAGATTAGTTGTGAACTTGTCGAGCGGATATTGACTAATGCTGATACTTCTTTATTAAAGGAAAAACGAACTTTGCAGTGACAACGATGATTTCTCCTGTAGAAGTCATATTATCTACTGTTAAAGGCATGGTGATTCAGACGACTGCACAGAGTCGTTTCTTATGAGATTATAGAGTCCCCCTTTAAGATAGAATTTCTTCAAGCTCCAGGAGCAGTTCTGTTAACCTTGATCGTAAGGCCACTGTTTCCAGATTTATAACAGGACTACCCTTCAGATTCGTTCCAACTTAAAATGTCTTCAGAATGGAAGGTCTTCCGACTCAATGATTACGAAGACGACGTTCCGATTTCCGTCCTGTGGGCGGTCCAATGCATGGAGCCATTACCTGTTTAAATAGGAAACTGGATGCAAAGGAACAGTTCGGTGTTATAACATAACCTGATGTAATGACTTCGATCTGTTTTCATGCATCGCTATAAATTTAGATAAATTGTATTCGTGCCTGGAACCACCACACCAGAAAACCTTCCATTTCGAAAACTTCAATTTCGACACTTAATTGAACCTGAGTCTTAGGTGATATTCATTTCCAACTGCGTGATTGCAGTTTAATAGTTTAATGTAGTAGTTTCCAACTAAGCAGAACGCAGCTTTAGTTTTTAGCAACATGACTATAAAAGCGGACATGCAAAGATATGTATATCCGTTATTAGTTTAGGAAATTGTTTGTGGGTCACAACGAGCAAACCAATAATTTATTTATGCATAAAGCAATATTATTTTTTATAATGTGAACTCCACCATGGCCGGTCCCAAGCCCGGATGAGAAAGGAGGAGGGTTGGAGACCGTGGCAAGTCTCCGTAAAATTCATCCACCTGCCACTCATGGTATTGACGCTATCGAAAAGTATACCGGCTCGGTCGTCG